ATAGATACAAAGACCAATGGAATAGAATTGAGTCCAGAAATAAACCTACACACCTATGACCTAGACATTTTTGACAAGGATGCTAAGTCCATTAGATGAGAAGAGTTTCTTCAATAAATAATGCAGGGAAAATTAGGTTTCCACATTCACACACACAAAAAACGAATGTCTCAAATGATGTACAAATGCAAATTAGCAATGGATTAAGGACCTACATGTGCAATCTAAAACCATAAAATCCTTAGAAGAACAATGGGATCAATGTCACGAAATTAAGCTTGGAGAAACTGTTGAATTGATGTATGCTTTGCATGTATACTCTCAACAATGAATTAAGTAAAATCTAGGTGGAAATGTTAATGCAGGAAATCAAAACGACGAGATATTTGTGCTGTAGACAGTCTATCTCCATTGACTTATGAAATAGGAGAGAATAGGAAAAACAGTAATTTGAGCTTGTTGCCATTTTCACCTCTTGTCTTTGCCACATCCTTTAGGCGAGTTCTTGTCACCAAGTATAGAAGAGCTCTAAACATTTGCTGAATGAATTTTTCCCCAACTACCCCAGGATTTTAGCAGTTTTACTTGAGTATCATTAATGGCATTGCTCTATAATTTGAGCATTCTGTTGGGCCCCCTTTCTTTGGAATGGGTACAAATATGGATCTCTTTCAGTCACTTGGCCAAGTAGCTGTCTTCCAAATTTCCTGGAGTAACGGTGTCCAGTGCTTCATCAGCTTGTTAAACATTTCCACGGGCATTCCATCAATTCCTAGAGCCTTGCTTTTGGCTAATGCCTTCAGCACAACTTGGACTTCTTCCATTGGATCTTGATCATATGCTCCCTCTTGAAATGGCTGAATGCCAACTAGTTTTTTGGTACTATGACTGTGCATTCTTTCCATCTTCTTTTGATGCATCCTGCATCGTTCACTATTTTGCCCATAGAATCTTTCAATATTTCAACTCAAGGTTTGAATTTTTTTCTTCAGTTCTTTCAGTTTAAGATATGATGAGCTTGTCCTCTTTTTTGTTCTCTTACTCTAGATCACTGCACATGTCATTATAATACTTTGTCTTCTCCAGCTGCCATTAGAAATGTTCTGTTCCTCTCATTGACTTCATCATGTCTTTCATTTGCCTTAGCTACTCTATGATTTGTTTCAGAGTCTCTTCTGATATCCACTTTGATCTTTTCTATCTTTCTTGACTTTCTGATAACCTTTTGCTTTCTTCACGTATGATGTTCTCGATGTCATCTCACACCTCATCATGTCTCTGGGCATTAGTGTTCAAGGCATCAAATGTGTTTAGGTGGGATAGATTCAAGGTCATATTTTGGCTCTTGTAAACTTGTTTTACTTTGCTCCAGCTTCAACCTGAACTTACATATAAGCAATTGATAGTCTGTTTCATAGTCAGTCCTTTGACTTGTGTTAGATGCAGATATTGAGCTTCTTCATCATCTCTTCCCACAGAAATAGTCAATTTGATTTCTTTGTCTTTCATCTGGGGAAGTCCACATGTATAGTTGCTGTTTGTGTTGTTGAAAAAAAGATATTTGTTATGAACAAAGCGTCTTGCAAAATTCTATCATGACATCTCCAGCTTCATTTCTATCACTAAGACCATATTTTCCAATTGCTGTTCCTTATTTTTTGTTTCCAACCTTTGCATTCTGATCGCCAACAATTATTAATGCATTTTGATTGCATGCTTATTCAATTTCAGACTGAAGACCTTGGTAGAATTCTTCAATTTCTATATCATTAGCTTTAATGGCTAGTGGGTACATTTGAATAATAGTTGTATTGATTGGATTTCCTTGTGTTCAGATAGAATTTATTTTATCATATGCTAGTAAATTTTTACTGAAGATCATCCAACAATGGTTGCAGCAGTACATTGATTTGGAGCTTCCAGAAATTCAGGACAGATTCAGAAGAGGATGTGGAACAAAGGATATTGTTGTTGATGGCAGATGGATCTTAGTTGAAAGCATAAAGATGTTTACTTGTTCTTTATTGACTATGCAAAGACATTCAATTGTATAGAGCATAACAAACTACGGATATCCTTGAGAAGAATGGGAATTCCATACCACTGCTTTGTGCTCATGTGGAATTTCTACATGGTTGAAGAGGAAGTTGTGTGAACAGAACAAGGGAAGATTGCAATGTTTAAAATCAGAAAAGGTGTGTGTCAGGATTGTATCTTCTCACCATACTTATTCAATGCGTATACTGAGCAAATCATCAGAGAAGCTGGCCTATATGATGAAGAATGTGACATCAGGTTTGGAGAAAGGCTTATCAACAGCATGAGATATGCAGATGACACAACCTTGCTTGCTGAAAGTGAGGAGGCCTTGAAGTACTCGCTGATGAAGATCAAGGATTGCAGCCTTCAGTATGGACGACAACTCGATGTAAAGAGGAGCAAAATCCTCGCAACTGGACCAGTAGGTGACATCATGATAAATGCAGAAAAGATTGGAGTTGTTAAAAATTTTATCTTGCTTGGATCCACAATCAATGTTGATGGAAGCAACAGTTAAAGAGATCAAATGAGGAACAGTGTGGAGTAAATCTGCTGCAGAAGACCTCTTTAAAGTGTTGAAAAGTAAGGATATTTCTTTGGGGGCTGAGCTGTGCCTGATCCAAGCAACAGCTTTATATGCAGATGAAAGTTGTACATTGACTAAAGAAGACTAAGGAAGTGTGGATGCAGTTGTTTATCTCAATGGCATCTCTGTCCACCCATAAATCAAATAAGGAAGCTCAAATTCAGTATTATTTCCTCCCCTTGTCTTAGGACAGTTATTCATTACTGTTTTTTAATTGTCTGAACGCCCTAAAAAAGCATGCTTTATTTATCATTTTATCTCCCATTTGTCACATAGTCTAACAATGAGCAAAATTTTAAATATGTAACCATAGCTTAGTGCTTTAAAGTACAGGTCAAACCAGAAACATATGCCTTAGCATTATGGTGTTAATATAACCAACAAAAGAAATAATCAATCAGTCTCAGAGGTAAAACAAAACTCAGACTGACTCAAAAGAGATCAAAACTTGAAAACTATGAGCAATAGGATGAAAACCATGGGAAAAAAGAGGCAGGAGAGATTAGATTTAGCCACCTTCTCAGTATTTCATTTTACTTACCAATAAAAAAAACTGACTTATCTGAGTTGTGCCTTCTTCTTTCTTTTAGCTTGGTTTATTTTTTAAAAAGCATTTTTTCTGGGGGCTCTTACAGCTCTTATAACATTCCATACAAGAAATGATGCATTTGAATGATGGTACTGGAGAAGAATATTGCAAAGTGCCACGGACAGCCAAAAGAACAAACTAATCTCTTTTGAAAGAAGTACAGCCAGATAGCTCCTTAGAGTCAAGGATGGGGAGACTTCCTCTCACGTACTTTGGACATGTTATCAGGAAAGCCCTGTCCCTAGAGAAGAACATCATGCTCCTTAAAGTGGAGGGGCAGCAGGGAGAGAGGAAGGCCCTCAAGGGCATGAATTGACACAGTGTCTGCAACAATGGGCTCAAACACAAGAACAATTGCGAGCATGGTACAGGACTGAGCAGTGTTTTCTTCCGTTGTGTATAGCCTCGCTATGATTCAGAACCGAGTCAACGGCATCGGACAATCTCAGGACTGAAGAAGCCCTGGTGTTGTAGTGGGTTTCTCATAGGGCTACTAATCTCATGGTCAGAAATTCAAATTCACCAGCTGGTCGATGGGAGAAAGATGAGGTTTTTCACTCCCCTAAAGATTTGAGTCAGAGTCTACTCTACGGCAGCGAGAGGTTTTGTTTTGAAATTTTTCATTCCAGGACTGGTTGGTTCAAATGTGCGTGGTTGCTAACCAAGAGGTTGGAGATTCCCGACTACTCAGATTCCTCAAGAGGATGTGCTGGTGATCTATTTCCAAAAAAATCAGTCCTTGAAAACTTTATGGAGCACGGCTCCACTCTGGTACACCTGGGGTCTCCGTAAGCCAGAACTGACTCAACACCCATCTGGTTTGGTTTGGGTTTATGTAACAAGAGAGAGAAATGTTAAGATTTTTAATGACAACATCCAAAATGTACTAACAATAATCAAAATTGAGCACAGGAGGCATTCTTTTGAGAGAGGATAGCATTTCTTTGCATTAGGCTTCAAAAGCAGTGTGTCCTAGCATTACATCTATTGCAAATGTTCATCACCTTCCGTGCTCCCAGGCACAAAAACCAGGATCGGGCCCTGGCTCTATAGTTAATCCTTGCTATATAGTTAATCTGGGTGATCAGGATTGGGGTTCTCTCCTGGCTGAGAGGTACCGCCACTGCCAGTTTCTCTCCCTCTTCAGTCAATCCCCATCCTTTGCCCTCCCTGGTGAGGCAGGTCAAGATTGGAGGCAGGAACATGCTCCCCCACTCCCAAGGGAATCTCAGTTGCTTTTGATACACCCCACTTTTTCCACAAGCAAGGGTAGGGTACCTCTGTGTTCCGGGACCAACCAGAATCTCGCAACCACTGGCCCTTTGTATACCCTCACCACACTACCCCCCACTCCCCCAAACTCCTCCATCCCTTTCAGCTCCCCACTCTTCAACCCTCGTCTCTCCTGGCTCCTTCCTTTCCTTTTCCTTCAATTTCACCGGCTTGCCCTCAACTCCTCCTTCCTGTCTTTTCTGTAGCGTTCTCACTCCTTCCCCTGTATTAACAACACTCCCCCACCCCCCCATGCCACCCCGCCTTGGATGCACTTTCTTTCTCCTGCCCTTCAGTTCTTTGCTCCGGGTGCCAGGCTAGCTGGACGCGCTTTCTCACTCCTCCCACTCCAACTGACTCCTCCTCCTTCTCCTCTCGGGCCAGCCACGCTTCCTTGCTGGGCTTCCCTCCGCCCCCTAGCTCCTCCTCTGGCTCCTCCCCATCCTGACGCGCCTTCCTCCAACTCCACCTCCAGATTTAGCTCTTTCCCGCTCCTCCCTGGATCCAGTACCTCCTCAGGTCCAGTAGCTGAGCCTGCCCGGCTGCGTCACCGTCGCCCCGGCCCGGCTCGCTCCGCAGCTCCACCATGCCCAACGTCGTGCTCTTCAGCGGCTCCTCGCACCAGGAGCTGTCCCAGCGCGTGGCCGACCGGCTGGGCCTGGAGCTGGGCAAGGTGGTCACCAAGAAGTTCAGCAACCAGGAGACCAGGTGGGCCCGCAGGCAGTGGCCGCCGGCCGCGCCACCCCTGCCCCCCGCGCTCCCTCTGCCGGCCAGGGCCCCGACCCGGAAC